CCGCCGCCGCGGGCCCGGACCCCAGCGCCAAGCAGCCGCCGCAGCAGCAGCCAGAGCCCCCTCTGGCCCCCTCCTCCCGCGAGGAGACGTGCCACTTCCTCAATGCTATCTTCCTTTTCCTCTTCAGGGAGCTCAGGGACACGGCCCTGGTCAGGAACTGGGTCACCAAGAAGATCAAGGTGGAGTTCGAGGAGCTGCTCCAGGCCAAGATGACGGGAAAGGTGCTGGAGGGGCTCAGCCTCAGGGACGTTTCGCTCGGCAACGTCCTGCCCGTCTTCAAAGCTGTCAAGCTCATTCGGCCGGTGGTCTGCAATGAAGAGGGCTGCCCCGAGGAGCTGGGCTTTGAGGTAGACCTGGAGTACAACGGTGGCTTCCACTTGGCCATAGATGCTGACCTGGTCTTTGGCAAGTCGGCCTACCTCTTTGTCAAGATCTCCCGGGTGATGGGGAAGCTGAAGCTGGTCTTCACACGCCTGCCCTTCACACACTGGTCCTTCTCTTTTATGGATGACCCTGTGATACTGTTCGAAGTGAAGTCTCAGTTTGAAGGGAGGCCCATGCCTCAGCTCACTTCCATCATTGTGAACCAGTTCAAGAAGGTTATTAAGCGCAAGCACACCTTACCCAATTATAAAATCAGGTAGGATGTCCTGTGTCATCAGTGTTGCTTTGGAAGATGTGCATTACAATTGCTGTTTTGCTTTTAATAAGTAAAGAGAGACTTCTCACGGTACTTTTACAGTAGGGGTGCTTGTACATTGTTTGTCTGATATCAGAAGCTTTCCATGAAGGTGAACATGGCTTTCCACTTATAATAGGTGAAGAAACTAATGCACAGTGAGATTGTGACGTGCTCCAAACTACACAAAACTAAATGGTGGAAATAGTAGGTGTGAGGTATTTGGGGATACTGTCAGGTGTCCAGTGACAGGACCATGATAATCCCGCTTTGGAAAAGGTAGAAGGATGGCTCTGTGGACAGCATCTGGGTTTGGGGTGTCCTTCTCCCAGTCTTCTGCTACTGGTGAGCTATCTGGGCAAGACGTGTGGCTTACGCTTACCTATAGAGGCAAGGTGGTTGTTAGTTAATGTGAGAAAGGATAAAGATGACTTTCTAGGGATTATTTTTGAGATCTCGTGATAGATGGTGTCCTCTTCTGATTTGTTGAATTTCTTCAATAACTTTGGGGAAATCTAAAAGTTGATGAGAGGAGTATTGCCACTGTTGTGGTAACTAAAACTTTGGGGGTCCTCTTGGGTTTTTTGTCTTTTTTTTGGTAAGATAGTATGTTTTCTTTTATAAATGCACACACTGCAGCACAGACTGCATTATATAGTGAATATAAGGAAATGTTCTGTAGCAGAAGTGGCAAAAGGCATCTTTACTTTGATTCCATCCCCATTTCTGATTTAAAAGATGCTGAATGTCTTACCACTGTTCAGGTACTGTTCCCTTTCTGTCATGTGTCTTGCCACTTTTAGGATACCATGTTCCCTTTCTCTTTTGTTTATTCTTTGTAACTTGTGTTATGTGTTAAGGAAGGATTTTTGTTTTGTTTACCACATTCTTCTGCAATAAGTCTTGTCTCTGAAATGCATCAGAGATGAGTAACTGAAAATGCCTATTGAATTTTGAAGTGTAATTAGCTCTGCAGTGATGTCATTTTTAAGGCCTTTTCAGCTGGTGGTTCTGCAGTCAAATTTATAAGAGTTCTCGTGAAAGTGGATGTGTAAAACATCCAAGATCTGGAAAGCCTGCAGGGCAATGAGTAGTTTCTCCTAGTAACATGGTGGTCCTTTCAAATTTTGAGGTACTGAATTGCTTTCCAAAAGAGAGCAATCCTTGGGCAGCAGGGAAGATTTGAAGAGCAAGTTTGCTTCCATTCTTGTACTGTGTTAGAGAGAGACTGCAGAAACTCCACACTGTTGTCTGTGGAGCCTGAAGGAGAGCCTGGGGTAGCACAGTAGTGATACAGAGTGAGAACTCTCGGCATACCTACAAAGAGAAAGTAGAGCAAATGAGCTTTATGCTCTCTAGACAAGTTTTTAGGGTGCCTGTGGAACCAGCGAGGATGTGCTCCTCCCCTTCAGCAGAGGGAGACAGATAACTTCATTTTGCCACTGGGAGATGCACCTGGGCAGTAGGGCGCTCTCATCATTTGGAGGTGATGAATTTTCCACCTATTTTTCATGCTTTATGCACCAGAAAGAATGGATGAGGTGTGTGTGAGCCACTGACATGTTGAAGGAACTGGAGGGGAAAATAAGGAAGGAAGCAGAGCACAGCGTTTGGGACAGAAATGAGTAGAAGTGTGAGGACAGAAGGTAACTGACATGGAGAATAATATAGGAAGCATAAATTCTTATAGAACTAAGAAGAATAAATTGTTATTTTAAAATGTTCTCTGAGTTATAAGGAGTTGGGAATTTGTGAATGCTTGAGAGGGAAATGCAGTACCATAGCTGGTTTTCACACTAGATAGTAGGTGGGTACCACTGGGTGGCAAATGTTCAGGGAAACTGTCCAACCCTATATATAATGCTGTTGGCCTTTACATTTTATGTCGTGTTCTGAACATGTCATTCTGACCCACTGTGTTGTGAGAGGGAAGGCAGGACACTAAGCTTATTGTACATTAATGAAAATGTCTTAAAGAAGGTTGGGTCATCGGTAACTGTCTAGAACTTTGCCTTTAAAGCTTAAAGAGGGAATTTAAAGCTTAAAGAGGGAACACAGACCCCTGTATGGGAACCTCTAGCTGTCTGGGAACCTGTAGCTGTCCACAGTTGCCCAAGGTTTTTGGGAACACAGACTGAAAACATGTAGTCTCCATCAGCATGTCTCAGATGAGTTTATGCAGGTAGATCCCTAGACAGCAAAACTTGGTAGCAGCTGAGTAGTAACAATACACTCTTACGTGGTGGCATAGTTGAGAATTGAGATGTTACAGTTTAGGTGGTATGGAGAACTGATTTGGAAAAATCAAGCCCCCTGCTGATAAGATGCAAAACTTGGCATTTTTAATAGAATTTATAATAATACATTGTCTTGGGATTATGGTATGTTAATATATTCCTTAGCAAGGAATGTATAGGAAGAAGTCAGAGTTTCACAACTGCTTAATAACCTGTTACCTTACTTAAAGCTTAACAAATTGTCATCTACAGGGAATGTGAGTATCCTCTCCCTGTTTTTTTCCTATAGCCTATATGCCTTTTGTTTAAGAATGTAGTCAGTATTTGCTTCCATCTGTAGTTCAAAACCTTTTTGATGTCTCCCTACTCTTGCTCAAGTAACTTTGTAAATAAATCTTTGAAAAGCAGTAATTACAACCTTGTAAACAAAAGCACTCTGAGTGCAAGGAGTTTTCAGCTGGTTAAAACGGGCACTTAGTTACCCTGCTAGCTTCAGATTGAAGTCCACAAAGGAGTTCTATCTTGTTTCAAGGTGCTAAGTAGCATTAAAAATTAAAATATGGCATTTTCTTTGTCTTTTGTATTAGGCAACTTCTAGAGTTTATTACTTGGTAGTGAATGGCATAAGAAGAGAATTTATGCCAATAGATGATTTTGAATATTCTATAACTAAGTTTCTGTAAAGCACATCCCCCCCCATTATTTAATTGTAAAATGCTGCATTAAGAAAATAGGTGTTGCATCTGCACGAGTGTATTGTCTGTTGCTACAGCCAAATTACTACACACATACTTTTGTATTCTTTCCAGTTATGTGCAAAATTTTATGCAGCAAAGCAGTTATTAGTAAGATCATCCTCTTTTGTATAATCCATTGCTAGGTGTAACTTTGTGTGATGTGCGTAACCGTAGCTTGAAAGTAGAAGGTGGCATCTTGCATTCCTGATGCACTCTTAAGTATCTATGAGGGGAGGCAATGTAGACTGGTAAGTGCATTTTAAGGTTTGTCTAGCATTTTATGTACAATTTTCTCCATAAAAGCAATTGTCTACTAATTGTAAAAGGAGGGATGCACTTTGTCAAAACAAATTAGTAATAGTGTGTAATCATTTTTCTTTGGTGCTTTAAGAAATATGTGTCTGGCAAAACACCCTATTTTGAAGCTGCTCTGCCGTTGAATGGTGATTGCTATCACAGTAGAATTTGGTTAAATGTGTGGAAGCAAGGCTGCTGGTAAAATTCAGTGAATGGTAGGCTTTTTTTTTTCTTTTTAGTCATCTTTGGTAAAGGATCTATGCAATTCCGTTGGTGGTAGCAAGAGTTACTAGTGGTTTATAGCTAACTTTAATCTTAATGTATTTTTTCTTCGTAGTAGAAATGCAAACAGCTTTTCTGAAAGCGCTGTGGTTTGTCAGAAGTTTCTTGTTCAGGTGTGGGGAAGATCTAAAATGACAGTTTGGGGTTTTTTTTTTTCCTTCTCCAATATACATGAGTTCTGGTGTACTCTTGAGAAACTAGGTAACTGTGAGTCAAGGGTCTTTGTTTATAACTGGCCCTAACTTCAGTAAGGAAATGAAGAGTTGTAGGTGTCATTTATTTGGCGCTACATAATCCATAACTCTATTTTGACCCAAATTATCTGTTTAAATCCTACCTTTTTTTAGTTCGAAGACAAGTTGGCCAGTGGGTGAAGCTTGAGAATGAGCATGGAAAACCTTGACTTCCCCTGTTGCTTGATTGTAGTGGCAACTATTGGTGTTCCGCAGGGCAACCACTGACCCACCGACTTTGTCTCACTGTCCCAAAATCTCTAATGCGGGCACTCTCAGGAATCATACTCAGGCAGTCTTGCCTGTTGGCATAGCTTGACTTGGCACTGGGTTTTTCATGTAGGTTTCTTTTACTAGAGCAGGGTGGTAAATACCAATTATCAGCAGAAAGTGGAGTTTATCGAGTAGCCTGAATCCAACCTTTGGTTTTTCAGGGTACATGCTAAAAACAGTTCTTTAAAAGTAGTGCTGTAGGCATTGTTCATGTTGGTTTTAACTTTGTGTATCGTGTCCTCTTAATAGTAGGATAAAGTGGTTGACAATAACCTGTAGTTACTAGCATTGCCGTAGTGTGGTTTGTAGTTAGAGATGCATAGTAAAGACTATTTCAGGTGTCTCCTATGTCATTGCTTGTTTGTGCTGTTGCGGGTGTCACAGCTTCATCTCTGCTAGTTCTCTAAAGGCTGTACCTTGCTCGTTAAACTCTTATAAGCTGGTGGCAACCTTGATACTCCACCCATCACGTCAGGTATATAGGTACATGAATTATGCTGTATTGTCTAGCCTATTTTTAATAGTCAGCTATAGTTTTGTTGTTTTGATCAGGTCCTGATCTCGCTTTGTATAAGTTTTTGAGAGCTTTGGGTTTTGGGCTCTTTCTAGACAATAAAAATACACTTTGCCATAATGAAGATACAAAGTCCTTTGTGTGTATGTGAAGGGTGAGGAGGAAGTACTTGCAGTCTAGTCTCCCTCCAGAATTTAATTTCCTGGTATTTCTTAATTGATGGTGTAAAAAATCTGACACCTGCTGTTTTTTTCTAAATGTAAGGTCTTGCAAGTTCATCCACTTAGATTCTAAGCAGATTAGGTATTGCCTAAGCAGTGAGTCAGTTGTGTATATTTTAAGAACACTTGATTTCTCAGTTTGTTTCATTAAAAAAAGCTAGCATTTT